GCTTTATAACGTATATAATAACTGTTTAGGGAGATGTAGTCAGCTTTATAACGTATATAATAACTGTTTAGGGAGTTGTAGTCAGCTTTTATATTATATTTGTATATAATAACTGTTTAGGGAGATGTAGTCAGCTTTTATATTTATATATAATAACTGTTTAGGGAGATGTAGTCAGCTTTATAGAGTATATAATAACTGTTTAGGGAGTTGTAGTCAGCTTTATAACGTATATAATAACTGTTTAGGGAGATGTAGTCAGCTTTTATTTTATATTATATTTAATAACTGTTTAGGGAGTTTTAGTCAGCTTTATAGAGTATATAATAACTGTTTATGGAGTTGTAATCAGCTTTTATAGAGTATTTAATAACTGTTTAGGTAGTTTTAGTCGGCTTTTATAGAGTATATAATAACTGTTTAGGTAGTTGTAGTCGGCTTTTATTTTATATTATATTTAATAACTGTTTATGGAGATGTAATCAGCTTTATAACGTATATAATAACTGTTTATGGAGTAGTAGTCAGCTTTATAACGTATATAATAACTGTTTAGGGAGTTGTAGTCGGCTTTTATATTATATTTGTATATAATAACTGTTTAAGGAGATGTAGTCAGCTTTTATAACGTATTTATTAACTGTTTAGGGAGTTGTAATCAGCTTTATAGAGTATTTAATAACTGTTTAGGGAGTTGTAGTCAGCTTTTATTTTATATTATATATAATAACTGTTTAGGGAGATTGAATCAGCTTTTATAGAGTATTTAATAACTGTTTAGGGAGATGTAGTCAGCTTTATAACGTATATAATAACTGTTTAGGGAGATGTAATCAGCTTTTATATTTATATATAATAACTGTTTAGGGAGATGTAATCAGCTTTATAGAGTATAAAATAACTGTTTAGGGAGATGTAGTCAGCTTTATAACGTATATAATAACTGTTTAGGTAGTTTTAGTCAGCTTTTATACAGAATAAGGACCTTATATGACTCATCTGGCCCCTAACTGGGTCTTGTTTCAGCACCACCTGAGCGAGCTGCTCACCAGGAAGTGGCTGGCGGCGTCCCACGCCGTGGACACCATCTGTGTGACCGTGGAGGACTACTTCAACGACTTCAACAAGATCAAGAAGCCCTTCAACCAGGTGGGGGAGGGGAACCTGGTCTGGGGAACCTCTGAGGACCCTCTGGGGAACCTCTGGGGACCCTTTGAGGACCCTCAGACCTTCTGGGGAACCTCTGAGGACCCCTAGACCCTCTGAGGAACCTCTGAGGAACCTCAGACCTTCTGAGGACCCTTAGACCTTCTGAGGAACCTCTGAGAACCATCAGACCCTCTGAGGAACCTCTGAGGACCCTTAGACCCTCTGAGGAACCTCTGAGGACCCTAAGACCTTATGAGGACCCTCTGAGGACCCTTAGACCCTCTGAGGAACCTCTAAGGACCCTCAGACACTCTGAGGACCCTAAGACCCTCTGAGGACCCTTAGACCCTCTGAGGAACCTCTAAGGACCCT